TTAGGTGATGACTCCCTTTCGTGGATTGCCAACGACACTCGTTTCAAAAACTAATAATTTAGCTCTCATATTTTTAAATCTACTCGTAACTTAATCATTTTTACTCTTTTTAAATTATTTTAATTTTTTTTATTTTAATAAATTAAAAAAAGGAAAAAAATATGAAAATATTGATGAGAAAAAATATTTTGTAAAATAAAAATAATATTAAATTAAATATGATTAACGAGTAATTAAATGACTACATAATAATTTTTGAAATTATAGGGATTAATTTATAAATTACTCCTCAATAATATTTCAAGATATTATCTATACGATTTCTCTTCTTAGAATCAGCAGATTTTTTATTCCGATTGTCTTTTTTTCCAATTTTTCTTTCTTGTTGGCGGTTATATTATCTAATGCTATCAACTAATTAATCCACTAATAAGTTTTTATTATCATTATTTTCTTTCTCGTCGGGCCTTATATCCTCTCGTTAGAGTATTTCTATAAAATATTACCATACTCAAATTATATTATTAAATAAAAACTTTACTTTAATTGTTTATTTTTCATAATGGTAAAAAAACGATCAGAAAAATTGTTTTTGACTATTTTTTATCATGACAAAAAAGGTATGAAACATCTATTTTTTATTATGATAAAAAAGGTCCGAAACATCTATTTTTTATGGCCTATTTATATGATTTTATTTTTTATTTTTTATTTTTTGTCATTTGCAAGAAGTAAGAAGTTTGATATACGTTATTTAGAAAAAAAATAGCTCTTTTATTTTTTCCTTCATTCTCCTACTAAAAAGTCATATTATTTGAATTATAAATTTGGGTAAAAGTAGTATTAAATTTTGTTGAGTTTCAACTCTTACAATTAGTGCAAAGTTGTAAGATACAATAAGAAAGCGAGCATGTGTCATTATTTTAAAAAACAATTGAAAAAAAAAACTAGAAATCATTATAAGAAATATAAAAAAGGTATAAAAATTAAAAATAACATCTAAAATCTTAAAAATGAATACACCATGTTCATAGAGCCTCGTAATAAAAATATGTGTATGCCAATAAAATAGGTTTTGCAAAACATGAATTTTTTAAAATATTTTTATGGGTTATTTAATTTTTTTATGTTCTAAGTTTTAATGTTTCTAGATTTTTTTTCTACTTTCTTGGTTTTTTCAATTTTTAAAGAGTTTTTTAGAATTATTTTTTTTATTTTTTATGTATTAAAAAATTATTTTGGTAGTTTGAGGGATTTTTTTTATCCAAAAAATGATAAAATAACAAATAAAAGAAAATATGAATATACATACGAAGACATATAGAAGTGAAAAATTCTTAAAATGGCACATGAAAGAATATGCCTAATATATAATTATAGACAAATTGATTAACCTTTTTTTAAATATATAATAAAAAATTAAAAATGTGGATTTTTTTTCTTTAACTTTTAAAATAATTATTAAATCAGAAAAACACACAGTTTAGATGTGTGGAAAACACTATGGAGTATTTTGTTGAATTAAAGAATGGCTAAATAAATCTAACCACTCCTCAAGTTAACTCGTATGAAGTTAAGTCTTCGAACTTCGAAATTATTTGGAAAATCCTTAAACTTTAATTGTTTTAAAATCTAGTCCATCTATTAGTTTTTTTTTGTAATATATATAATTTTTCTATCATAAGGATATGAGCTCCTGGATTGAAATTTAATCAGCTTTTATTTATTTTTTGAAATGCAATTGTGTTTGCGCGTGTCCAATGCCTTTAGTTTTGTGCTGGAAAAAAAATGCTTCCCTTTCTGATTTTAATATTCCTTAATATGATCACACAAATAATAACTGGGGCAAAAGCCATCTTGGTGAGCTCTACACCACCAAGTCTCATATGGCCGAGGAAGGAGAAACTCCCTCCCTCTCTGTCTCCAAGCTCAAGCTTCAGAAAATATGGGCAGAGAGTGAGAGAGAGAGGGGATTTTAATTTTAGTTTTTTTTTTCCTGAAATTTCTGTAATTATTTTGATCAAAAACTAAAACATAGACTAGATTTTTCAAAAAAACAATTAAAATTTACAAATCTCCTAAATCAATTTTGAAGTTCAAGGGTCGATCTCAAATGAACCAAGTAGTTAAGCCTTATTTAGGCTTAAAAAATTTAGCCAAATAGATCTCTCTACATTGCCATTGATGTTTTCCCAACTGAGTTAGGATCTATTGATCCCATCAAAATGGCACCAAGTTAAGGGAATGACTGTCAATATTTGATTATTTTTGTATATTTTTAGGAAGACAGAGATTGGTAGACAAGAAAAGGAGCAGCCAGTAACATAGCGAAATCACAAAGGATTAGCTTTTGTTTTGATTGGCACAACAAGTAGTATTAAGGATGAGGGTTTTTTTTTTTTTTTTTTTCATTTGGAGTTTTTGACCAGATAAGTATACCACCGAATGATTTATTGATGAAATAGAGAATTATTATAGATGATAAAATAAAATAAAATAAAATAAATAGAGGATTGAGTAATTTTATATAAATAAATTATATATATGTGTGTGTCACTGGTTTTTTTATTTTTATTTTTATAAAAAATCAATTACTTATTATTGTTGTTAATAATTGACACGTTATTTTGTTTTGTATAGGATTTTAATATAGAAAGTTTGTTTGTAAATTATTATTTTTTAAATGTAACTAAAAATTAAAAAATTATACCTAACACTTAAGAGACCACAAATCTTATTAACTTATGCAAAAGAATTTCGGATTTATTTATTGCACTAGATTAAATAAATTTGTTAATTATGTTTTTAGTTTATCAAGTTGTTGATTTTTTTCTAATCAAGTGGATTTTTTTTTGAGTAAATCAAGTTATAATTTTTTTTTAATTAAGTGTCTGTAAGATTTTCATCCATTTTTATCGTTATATGCACGTGGCATTTAGTGGAATCCGCTTTATACGAGATAATGACAAAGCGAACAAATGTAAATGACATAAAAAATGAAAAAAAAGTGATAGCCAAACCATAGAGAAAAAATCCCTACTATTCCAAAAATTGCCAGCCACCACCATTCACTTTACTACCAGTCATCACTATCGTCCTCCTTAGTTCACAGACCAGCTATGCCGTCAAAATCTACCTTTGCCATGAACCATTGTCAATAGCCACTTCCTATCTTTCACCACATCCTCGCCACTGTCATTGCTGATTTCCTTCTCTTTACAACCACCAGAAAATCCCAAAACCAGCAACCTCTTTACGTTGTCCTAACTACCATCACCTACACCACCGTCGATCTCCTCCTCTCCATAGCCATCACAAACCTCCTAGTTAATTGCCTTCACCTAGGCACCATAGACCTCTAGCCACTATCGACCAACGATCCCATAGTCCTTAATTTACACCAACATCAGATCATCTCCCTCTCATATCTAGCCATGGCGGTCGTTGGATAAAAAGATAAAATTACAAACTCATCGAAAAACCTCTCCTTTATTTCTTGTTACGACAACCACAGCCCTTGCCCCAACACACTCCACACAGCCTTTCTCCAATCTCTCTTTTGTCAAAATTTGGTAGCACATATTAGCATCATCATCCTCCATTGCAGCCACCACAACACCTATCAAATTGATTTTTTGTCCACCATCTTTGGCAACTTCAAACCACAACAAATTCGACCTCCATCCAAACTAACCAGAATCTACACCAATAGTTAGGGGTGAGCAAACGATTCGGTTAATCAAAAACTACATAAAACCGAACCGAATTATGAAATTTGGTTCGGTTTTAAATATAAAATTATACAATATATAACCGAACCGAAAAAACCGAAATTATTTCGGTTCGGTTCGGTTTTTAGAAAAAAATTTCGGTTTTGATCGAAAATCGAAATAAAAAGTAAAAAAATTCTTAATTTCTAAATCCCTAACTTTTCAATCTTCATTCTTGTTGAAATTGAAACACGCAGATGGAAAGTAAATTTTGAGGACCGTTGGGGTAGGAAAAGAAAGTGACGAAGTATAATTAATTAGGATACATTGTGTTTGAATGAACAAATTTATTACACTTGGACTCATTTTCATTAAAGCTTAGTTAAAACCTTCAAAGGCTTTATGATTGTTTATAAAAAAGATTAATTGATAACAAGATGTTATTTCATTGGCTAGTAGACTAAGTGCTAGTACAAAACATCTCTCTCGTAATGATTTTTTTTTTATAGCAAAATATTTTGGTTAAAACTGAAATATTTCGAAACCAAACCGAAATAATTCCGTTACAAACCGAATTTATTTTGGTTCGATTTTGGTTTTTATTTTTGATAATTCGATTCATCAAAAACCGAACCGAATCGTATAAAATCGAATCGTTTAACCGAATGCTCACCCCTACCAATAGCCCCCACCTTTCATCTCTTCTCTCTCCGCCATTAGTAGCAACCGAGCCACCACATTAACCTATTTTTTGTAAATTTGGTATTTTTTTAAAGAAAAAAGGTGTTGGAGAGTTCGTAGTGCAAAAAGATTTTAGGGTGCAGAAAGAATGAAGATTATGCTGTTCTAGAGAATTTGGAAGTGGATTGTGGAGAGATCAGTAAAAAAAAAAAAAAAAACAAATTTGAGAAATCTTAGAAGAAAACTTTTGTTTATCTATTTATTTTTCAGGTCAATTATATGTTGCAGCCACGTGTTTCATACGTGATATTGTGATAGTCATGTAATCGTCACGTGTAAACGAGTCTTACTAACATGCTACATGCGTATATAATAGAAAAAATTGACAAAAAGCTAATGGAAACACTCCATTAAAAAAAAATTGAAAACTTCTTAAATTAAAAATGTAATTAACTCCTTAATAAATAAATAAATAAAATCAGAAACTTCTAAGCGGGAAAGCCAAAAATTCGAAAAATTACAACAAAAACTGGAGCGACTATGAACCTCAAGAGAGAGAGAAAATAAATTGAAAGAGCAGAAAAATCAGTCACAGTTTCTGTCAAATCCATGGAGGAAGAAGAAGACCCAACAGTTTCCGCCCTAATCACAGACCTAGAAGAAACCCTAAACACTCAAAACCCACAATCACTTCTTTTGCCTCTCCCAACCCTCCAAAATCTCCAATCTCTCTTAGATTCAAATGACCCAGAAATCCTTTCTCAATTCCTCTCCAATCTCTCCTCTAAATCCTTCTCTTTGTCTTCTCTTCTTGCCCCTCTCACTTTCGCAATGGACTCAGGCCCCACACATCTTTCCCTCCTTTCCTCCGAAATTTACCTTTCTCTTATTCTTTACCCAAATTCCCCAGTTTTCACTCTTTTCAATCCAATCTCTTTTCTCTCTCTACTTCGCTCGCTTCGCCGGGCTCTTAAGCCCCCTCGCTCCTCCTCCTCGGACCCACAAGAAGGAGATTCTTTGGGTTCCAGCCGAGGGGTTAAGAAGAGAAAAGGAACAAAAAGAGGACGAACTGTCGCGTGCAATCATGGAGGTAGTGATGGAGATGGGGACGAGAGAGGGGAGAGTGATGGTTCTTTTGATACGAGAGTGTTTTTGTGTGTTATGGAGAGGTTGGTATTGGTTTTAGACTTGATTCATTTGAATAGGTTTCCTGATAGTTTGAAGTCTTTGGTTCAAACTATAATGGAAGTTCTGGTTTTGTCTTCTAGTAGGGAAATGGGTGGAGGGTTTGAGAGACTGGCGGGTTTGTGTTCGAGGATTTTGTGTCAAGTGTTGAAGTCTGAGCATGGAGAGGAAGGAGAGACAGCGGCAGAGGTTTTGAAGGTGTTAGGGCCGTTGATTTTGATGGGGAAATCGCAAGCTAGGAGCTTTGCTTTGGAGTTTGTGCAGAGTTTGATGGTGGGTGAGGAGAAAAAAGTGATGCGGTTAAGAAGGCAGTGGTGAATTTGCCGCGGTATTTGGCTCAAAAGGCGCCAGAGAAGGCAGAGCCTAGAGGGTTTGCAGTGGAGGCGATAATAGAGGTTGTTAGAGCAATGGACTTAGAGGATCAAGTTGGGTTTGTTGAGTATGTGATGAAAATGACTCGAGGGAAGGCCAATCTTAGGCTCTTGGCAGTGGATTTGATTTTGAATTTAATGATGGAGTTAAAAGATCCGTTTGTTGGGATGGATTCGGATTGTGAAGTGAAGGATTCGTGGGGTTTTAAATGCGTGGATGCATTGATTCAACGTTGCTCGGATTCGAGTTCTGGAATTCGAGCTCGTGCTTTGTCTAATTTGGCTCATTTAGTGGGGTTTTTGTCGAGTGATGATAAGAATCGCGATGTTTTGAAGGAAGTAATGGGGTTTGGAGAAGTGGAGGTGGAAGGTGGGGTAAATTATATTTTGGGGAAACGGTGTATGGATGAGAAGGCAAATGTTAGGAAGGCTGCACTTGTTTTGGTCACCAAGTTGACTGCTCTTTTGGGTGGCAATTTTGATGGAGTCGTGCTCAAGACCATGGGCATGGCTTGTTCTGATCCACTTGTAAGCATCCGTAAAGCCGCAATTTCAGCTCTGTCAGAGGTCAGTCCACTCTCATGCTTCATGTAATGTTTCCTTAATTGACTATTGTTTGTAATTTGTTGCCTCGAGTAAAATATGACACTATTGCTTGTTCGAGACCCTGTATGCCATGCGCCTATATAAGTTGGTGTCTCTGCTCTTGATCAGTTTGTTTGTTTGTTGGTTATTTATTTATTTATTTTTGCATGTGCTTTTCCTTGCATTTTCTCTTTCATATCTTGTGTTCTTCATCGACATTGTAGGCTTTCAGAACATTTTCAGATGAAAGCGTGATTATTGAGTGGCTACATTCTGTTCCACGTTTAATAACAGATAACGAAACTAGTATTCAAGAAGAGTGCGAGAACTTGTTCTTGGAACTGGTTTTGGATCGCATTTCCAGGGCAGGATCTGAAAGTATAATACAAAACCAGTCAACTTTCTTTGATTCCAATGTTAAAGAGAAAGGTATAGAGAGGGAGATTGAGTTGCTGTTTCCAGAAGGAGTCTTGGTTCTTTTGAAAGAGATCTGCAATGGAGAGGTGACACCTTGGGTGAAGAAAATCTGCACAAGCTTGGGTAAGAAGAAACGACTGAAGCCTAAAATTGCTATAGCACTACAGAATATCATAAAGACATCTGAGTCTCATTGGGTGGGCAATTCCATGCCGATGGAGAAGTGGACAGCCCCACCTGGTGCTTGGTTTCTTCTATCAGAGGTTTCAGCGTACCTTTCAAAAACTGTTGACTGGGAGTTTCTCCATCATCACTGGCAGCTCCTGGACAAGTACAGAGCGGCAGGTGAGTTTAAGAGTCCATGTCCTAAAGAATTTATGCATGAAGATGAAGATGGCATAGAATCCAATTCTGTTGCATGGGCTGGGGATCGTGTTTTTCTCCTTCAAACAATCTCGAATGTTTCTGTTGAGCTGCCCCCTGAACCTGCAGCAGAGTTAGCTCATAACTTGCTCAAAAGAATTGAAGACTTCAGCATGCATTTAACAGAGGTATCTATACCATCATCTGCAGAATAGTATATAGGAGCATCTCTTATTCTGTTCTCTCCTGCTAGCGTCCTTCTTGGGCTATACATCAGTCACCATTGTTGTGTTTGAGGTTCAAAAGATACCTAGAATTTGCTTGACTTGCATTTTTAAGCTAATTTTGTATTGACAAGCTTAAGCTTGAGTTTCTATGCATCTAGGCATCCAGCATGGACATACTTACAATGTTTCTTAAGAGTGTCATACTAATTTTCTTTTTGTTTCTACACTTTTCAAAATTTTACCTTTAGCATGATGCTGGATAAGAAATGTGGGGGAACGCACTGACATTACCTTACTGTATTCTAGATTTCTAAACAATGTGAACGGTATTCTTCAATGTTTAATACAATGAAAGTAGCTCTAATAAATATAATATTCCTGTTACCCGTTCCTTCTATGTAATTTTTATCCTGCTGATGATCTTGGGGATATTGCTTTTGCTTTAATCTAAGTGTGAAAAGAGATAATGCACCTATTTTCTCTGGAAAGGAATATGCAGTTTGCTTCCATCTGGTTAATTTCTTATGAACTTCACTGGACAGAATCTTGTGAGGAGGAGGGCGGCGGCATTATGGCCTTGGTTGCATAGTTCCCAGAAAGAGTTAAGCAGCCTAAAGTGGCGAGCACTAAAAAGTTGGCATAAACATTTTCCTGGCTTATGAGTATAATTTGTTTTATTGCATTGGCTTATTTGATGTAGGTTAATGCTCATGTTAAAGCACTCAGAACCTTGTGCAAGCGGAAGGCTTTGAATGCCGATGAGGCTGAGATTCTTGTCAACAAATGGGTACAGCAGCTTTTCTCTAAAGCTTCTCGGATTTTGGAGAATTACATCACAGGGGATTCAGAAGTAAACAAGGAGAATACTTTCTTCACACCTCCGAGAAGTGTGAGTAGGAAGGGCAAGAGAGCTGCGGCCCTATCTAGATTGTTGTCAGAAGCAGTAACTGCAGTTTATTCCATTGGGTCTTTGGTTATCATTTGTCCCACAGCTCATACTAGCACCATTATTCCTCTACTACATACCATCATCACTTCAGGAAATTCTGATCCAAAATTGAGTAAATTGCCGGGCCCTAAAGTCTCTCTGAAACTGAAAGCTCCCACTTTGTACATTCAAGGATGGTTGACAATGGGAAAGATTTGCTTAGCAGATGAGGAACTTGCAAAAAGATATATTCCTCTGTTTGTGCAGGTTTGATAGCTTAAACAAACATCTCAGTGGTGTTCCAATTGAATTTCTAATAAATACAAAACCTATGCTACTTTTCTTCAGCATTCTTTTTGACATGTAGCACAATGATTGTTATTGCTGACCTTTTCAGGAACCTTAATATATAGTTTAGAAAGAATTCACAATTTTGGAGTTGTAGTTGCTTGATTCTTGAACAATAATAGAGCTAATAAACAATCCCTTTGGAGTTATACTTGATGTAGTTAGTCAATACCTTTGTTTCTTGGCATGATTTTTGAACAATAGGGGAGCTAATTAAGCAACATCTTTGTTTCTTCCCCTCACGTCAAATACTCCATAAAACTATGCTCCTCTTTCCAGCTGAAAGTAGCTTTTGAATTCTGAAATGCTTGCTTTGCACTTTATGTTGCAGGAGCTTGAAAAGAGTGACTGTGCAGCTCTTCGAAACAACCTTGTTGTAACGATGGCTGATTTTTGCGTTCGCTATACTGCTCTAGTTGATTGGTGAGGCTGTAGACAAATGACAGAATCAAATCTATTTAAATAATTCTCTTTATATATAGAGAAAAAGGTTGGTACTAAATGTTAATCTATTTGCCACTAACTAACTGTTCTTGAGGTCAACAGTTATATATCAAAGATCACCAAGTGTCTCTGTGATCCATGTGAACTTGTGAGGAGGCAGACATTTATACTGCTCTCAAGATTGTTGCAGGTTTATTTTTGTTTCAGGGTTTCTGTCATTTGTTATACCATTGTTTTCTTTTCCTTTTCTGGGAATAATTATCATCACTGCACCATCTTCACTTTTTAATTATATTTTCACATTCAGAGGGACTATGTGAAGTGGAGGGGAGTGCTCTTCCTTCGATTTCTTTTGTCGCTTGTTGATGAGTCAGAAAAGATAAGACAACTGGCTGATTTTCTCTTTGGGAATATTCTAAAAGGTCAATAGGCATTCACAACTCACCAGTTCTATTTTGGTGTCATATTCTTGGGCTTTACTGATGTATATAACTTGTATGCAGTCAAGGCACCGCTTCTAGCTTACAACAGTTTTGTGGAAGCTGTTTTTGTTCTGAATGACTATGATGCCCATAATGGGCTTTGTGGTTCTAAAACTTCACAAACAGAGAACCATTTATTTTGCATCAGGTAGGTGCCTCTGATTTTCTGCAACCAAGAAAATAAATGCTCTATGATTGCGATGAAGATAATCTATTGAACTATGTATTTCCAGGGGTAATGATGAAAATTCAAGGTCCAAAAGAATGCACATCTATGTTTCTTTGCTGAAACAAATGGCTCCTGAGCACCTCTTGGCGACATTTGCAAAGCTGTGTGCTGAGATTCTTGCAGCTGCATCAGATGGCATGCTCAAACTGGAAGATATCAGGGGACAGTCTGTTCTGCAGGTAGGAATCCTACGTCTATCTAAGAACCACACTTCCATAAGCCCTTTACGAATATGTGTAAATTGGCAATTGCAATCCTGCAATTGCTGTGCTGTTCTAGCTTAAGAGATTACCGATCATGCTTCTCACCCAAGGTTGCTCCATCATTTCACCGGAGTGTCAAGAGCAGAAGTATCCTACTGCTCTTGGCTCTTTGTGAAATGGTGGCTGGACTTCTCATAATTTCCACGCTTTCCAAATTCCCTAGTGAATAAGACTTTTCCCAATTTTTATCTTTTTAGTAATCCAGAGGGGTAGGTAGTAATTTTGACTCGTTTGTTAATTGGGGAAGCAGGATGCTTTTAAAATTCTTGCATGCAAAGAGATCCGAATCCCATCAGGTCGTGGATCACAGACTGATGCAGGAGATGTAGAGGAAGAAAGTGGAGATGGTGGAGCCTCTGCAGCAGCTGCCAAGGGAGCGGCCATAACTCAAGCAGTGAAGAAGGGTCTTATTCAAAATACCATCCCCATCTTTATAGAGCTCAAACGACTACTGGAAAGCAAGAACAGCCCACTTACAGGTTCCCTCATGGAATGTCTCAGGATTATTCTCAAGGACTACAAGAATGAGATTGATGACATATTAGTCGCTGACAAACAACTTCAGAAAGAGCTTATTTACGACATGCAAAAATATGAAACATCCAAGGCAAAATCAATAGCTTCCGAGGTTGTTGCCACCATGCAAAACCATAGTAGCTTTCTTTCACCTGGGGCTTCTAAGCCTGCAAGTGGAACAAAAGCACATAATAACTTTACTGAAAAACAGCAAAGCGATCCAAGAGTGGCGTCAGCTATGGCAAATGCAGTTGCTGAAGTTAGAGTCAGGTCTGTGCTTAGAGAAGTTGACAGAGGAATAGCAACACCTCCTCTTAGTTCCATTAGTAGGCCTAAAATCAAGACAAAACGGGAGGGTACTGCCACTGGTGCTCGAACTGATCGACCTACTCATGTATTAGAATCGCTGAGAAGGAGAGAGTGTTTTAATTCTGATGATGAAAACTGATTTCTATTGTTACTCTTCCTTCCATCTGGGAAATACCGGAGTGAATATATTATTGGTTACACTACTGCTAATATATATATATCAGAAAAAAAAAACCAGTTTTGATTTACTGAACATTATTATCTAGTTTCAGGGTTACTCGTGCTTCTATTTTATTTTATACATACTTGCGCAACTGTTATAAAATCCCTATGCTTTTACTTCATCTTCATTGAAAGTAGGTCGGCAATTTGTTAAATTGGTAGGCGGGAAAAATTTTGCGATATTGCTATGGTCTTCTGCAAGTTATTATTTATTTCTTTTTTTTGGATAGCAACAAGCATCTTTGGATTTGCTTGTGCTTGGACTTGTTATAGTTCTAAAAACATTACAATTATAGTGCCTATCAAATAGTGAGTTTAAATGTATTTTTTTCTTCACTAATGTAACATTTTTTTTTCATTATTATTGAACTTATACTTAATTGTTTTTAACTATCATAATTATAGAATAATTAGCTAAATTATAAAAATAGAAGGTAATTTTTATGGTAGATTTAATGAATTTATTCATCTATTCGTAATCACCTGTTATGAAATGATTTTTTTTTTTTTAAATAAAGATGAGCTTTTTAAATTATAATTGTACAATAATATTGAGGGTAAAATGAATTATTAGGTTAAAAAAATATTTTAATATTTAATAGTTTGTAAGTTGAAGTCACTATCTATGATTATAACTATAGAAATTGGGATGGGAAGTAATATTAGGGAGGTTGTTTGTCCTGTATTGGGCTTTGCTTTCAAACAACATTTTGTTTTTGGGCTAATGAGTCATAAACAAGAGTTGCTCAGGTGTCCCTGGGCCTAGTAATATAAATCTGGAAGCCACACCTACCATCTTCTTTGGGTGATTGCTAATTAGGTGGCCTTCTCCCTGCAGAGTGCGCACTCCATCGCTCTGCTCTCCCTCCGATCGAATATTTCTATCAGGTAACTCCCAACTTATCTGCTTCAGTATCTGATGATTAACTATTTATATTTAATATGCTAAAATTTTCATTAAATTTTCCTTATTTTTACGCAGATTTCCTTTAATTTGGGTATTATTTTTTGTGTTGAATTAATCAGAGGTGATCAATTTGTGGAAATTTTATAATAATGGATGGAAACAAAGATGAAGCAATAAGATGTGTTAAAATTGCTAAAGAAGCAATTGCATCCGGCAATAAAGGACGCGCGTTGAAATTTATTAAAATGGCGCAACGACTTAATCATAATTTGTGTGTTAATGATCTTTTATCCGCATGCGAGAGGCTTGATTCCGCAGAAAATTTAGCTTCCGTGGATGAAAAAAGTGTTGATGATGATCCTAAGGATATGAATATGAAGAGGAATGGGAATGGTTTTGTTAAAAATGTTGATGACGGTTTGAGTGGGGAGAGGATTTTTACTGAGGAGCATGTGCAATTGATTAGGCAGATTAATAGGAATAAGGATTATTATGGGATTCTTGGGGTCGAAAAGAGTTGTTCGGTTGAAGTGATTCGCAAGGCATATAGGAAATTGTCATTGAAAGTTCATCCAGATAAGAATAAAGCACCCGGATCTGAGGAGGCCTTTAAGAAAGTATGCAAGGCATTTAAGTGTTTGAGTGATGGTGATTCCAGGAAGCAGTATGATCAAACGGGTTTGGTTGATGAGTTTGAGCATAATCAGCAATATAATAATGTTAGGCGACAGAGAACAAGTGCGCGTGGTTCTTATTATGATGATGCATTTGATCCTGATGAGATATTCAGGGCTTTTTTTGGTCAGGCAGATGTGTTTAGGACTCGTCATGTTTATAGGAATAGAGGGATGGGTGGTCAACAGAGGGGGAGCAGGGAGGGGGACCTAATCTGATTGTTCTGCTGCAAATACTGCCCTTCTTGTTGATTATTTTGCTTGCTTATCTACCCTTTTCAGAGCCTGAGTACTCTTTGCTTAAGAATTTAGCTTATCAAATTCCCAAGTCTACTGAGAAGTATGGTGTGGAGTATTTTGTCAAATCATCGGCATTTGATGAGAATTTTCCTCCTGGAAGTCCTGCTCGAGATAACATTGAGGACAGTGTGATTAAGGATTACAGAAATATGCTTTGGCGGTACTGTAACATAGAAATCCGCAGACGTCAATGGAGTAGGAATATGCCCACTCCTAACTGCGATAAGCTACGTAATCTCGGATTAGCATGAAGGTAAGCTGATTGCCCTGTATATTTGTGACTGGGAATTATGTCCTTATAATTTTATTTTATTTTTTCTGGTTCAGATGATTGTTCAGTGCCTGAATTTATGAAGTGCTTTCCTGTATAAAATGCATTCCTGATGCTTCTTTGTAGGAAGCTCACTTAGTTTAAATTTTAATGCTACTTCTATCATTTTGAGATCTTTGTTGTACCCTGTCATCATCATTTTAGTGACATGTCTCACTCTCTGATGTTTGGCTACATGTGTGCTTTGGGGAGGGATGCGTTGGTGTTGGCTGTGTTAAGCTATTAAAGGATTTAGTTCCCAACTTGTACAAATGAGAATCACATGGAGGATTCAGAGGGCATGGTTGTATCAAAATTTTAATTGCAATATAAAGGTTTAGTCTTACCCTCACCGGTTTGGTGTTTGATGTCTATGGAATATTATGTTGGCTGTGCTTGTCTTCATGGTTGTGTGGGTGCTTGTCTATTCATTATCAGGGACTGTTTCTGTGCTTGCTTTGGAGATTGCATGTTATTCCAAAATGTTACTCTAGAATTGGTTTCACCATTTGGCCAACATCGTGGTGTCAATCTATTCCTTATCCCTTGGGTATATTTGTATTGTACATTTTTTTTCCAATATGTGAATATGCATAAAACTCTCATGTTTGTGATCCATGAATGATAATCACTTGATTGTCCATGATAACTCTTCTGCCCTCTGGGCTTTGTGGATAAACTAGTGGTGTGAGTTTATCCAGGATTACGTTATCAACTTTCCCAATCATAAGATATTTTACTGGTCTGCTTGAGGCTTTGCAAGGTCACAGGCCCTAAGCATGGTCTTTCTAGTTGCAACTTGTGAGGCAACAGCAAGCCTGTATGAAGTTCACAAGTTCAGCAGACCTTCTCGTGGCCTCGTGAGGCATTGACTGGCCTGGCTTCCTCTTGAATTTAACTAAGCGGCTTTACTTTCTAATTACTGTACAGGTTTTTTCATTTGATGGGCATTATTCTATACCATGCTCCACTTGAAATTCTCTACCTTATCAAATCCAAGACATCCAAAGGAATAGTTTGCATATGCTACCACCAAATGCCACCATTATCTGAATTCCGTTTGTCTTCCTTGATTCCAAAATCATTCACTGTTGTTTAACCTTGGGATTAATGTTAATCCAATTTGATTTTCTAAAATTTGTATTTATTGCAGGGAACACAACTTGTGTTCTCTTGAAGATACTCCGTTTCATTCACAAGTCCCATGATGAAACTTTTTGCCTATCCTTGTTACAGATGCATGTGATGGAACTTTATTTACACGATTACTAGATGTCAATGTCCCTAAAAACCAGGCATTTTTTTCTTCCTTTCCTTCTATGAGTCTGCATGAACTTACGTATAGAAGTCACCATGTTACCACCAAAATCTCAAGAGAAGTGGCACTTTTGTCAATTTACATCTATGTACCTGATATTCTTATTTCATGTTGCAAATTTTTCTTATCTAGTATGCCACAACATTCACCATTTGTTCTTCAGATTTGAATGCCGACGCTCCCCAATCTGAAATCCTTGACTCATACATAAGCAACTACTACAATTGATTTATTTGATGAGGAATCTAGGTCATAAGACTCACAGGCTACATGATAATTCTTCGTCATTTTACTAGGCTATGTTATGTGGTTGTGAGTCTTGTGACAACACTGTCAACAAGGTTCTATTTTTAACTGTCTGTCCTTTTTTTATGTCCTTTTTGCTTGTCATGTTTATCTACTTAGATGACGTTAATATTATCTGTCCTTTTTTTATGTCCTATTTGCTTGTCATATTTATCTACTTGGATGACATTAATATTATGTGATTTTTGTAGGGAATATGCATGTGAGAGAGCTTGTGCGTAGAAGTATAGAACAAGCCTGGACTAGAGATGATGGCTTGTAGACAAGCGAGAATGTGGTCCTCCAAAACATGATGTTACTCTTTCTTCTTCCGAGGACATTTTGGCCATGCACCATCTGCCATGATGATCCAGGATTCATAGTTACAAGAGTTGTTAACACCCACAGTATGCCATGAGCTTTTTGTATATCTGATATAAATAGGTACATATTGCAAATTGTATGCAGCTTGCTCTTACTGTTTGCAACCGTCAGCTGATTACACGGCGAATGTATTTTAGTACGCATATGGTGTTATGTTTTTCTTGATATTTAATCAGATGGAAGTCAGTTCCTTCTACTGAGCAAGGTCCGGTTCTTTCCTCTCAAGATCAATGTCCTGGAACTTCGGTGTGACTGTCCGGAAATCAGACATTGTACTATTAAAAGTCCCTCTTGCTCGATGAGAAGGTCTAAATTTGCAAAAAATAACATTGCTCAACGATTGTTCTCTTGTCAGGTGGTGGCGTAAAAGGCTTCTCTTCTGCCCACTCGCTCATCCTGTATCCACATTTGGTCAAATGTCGATCAAGTATGAATAAACATTCAGCCAACTCTATTATTTTGGTATTGGGTGTCATAATTCATTATAGCTTCTATTTATTTTCGTACAAAGTAAAAAAAAAAATGCATATTGCATAGTTTCTTGATTTTCTATGATTTTTTTGACATTTTTTATACAAATTTATAGGATTTTATTATTTTGAGGATTATCCCTTAATTTTAATTAAAAATAGAAAAAAGAAGAGAAAAAAATAAAAAGTGGGAAGATGACGTGGGATCTAATTGAAAAGGATGTGAGAAGTAAGGATCAAATGACATTTAATTAAGGATGCAATTGGAAAGGATAAAAAAATTGAAAAAATCAAAGGTCTTAATTGAGAATGGCTTAGGATGGAATTGAAATAAATCAAAAAATTGAGACTAAACAATTTTAACTAAGGAGTTAATTAAAAAAAAATAGAATGTACATTGAAATTGATAGAAACGAATTAAAAAAAGGCTAAATTCAATTTTATCCCAATCTTAAAGAAATTTCTATATAAACATTCTCCTGAGCCATAAGTATCCATTTTCTCGACCTACAAAAAAAAAAAAAAAAAACCTTAGCTAGAAAAATATAAGGCTGTCACTATTTATCTTTCTTATTAAAACCCTAAAAGCCACCTTAAGAAAAATCTATCCTTAACATGTTTCCTTTTCTTCTTCACCTACTTACCTCCTTCACTAGCACTGATCCTCCCACATAGCAACCACCTAAGACCATTCTCCATTGTTCCCAAACCAGCTGTCCTTCTTTTTCATAATAGCTCAATGTCCATCAGTTACCACAACTCGTCTTCCTCTACACCTAAAACAACAACCTCACTCTCTCATTGACAAAAACACAAACACCTAGTAAACTATGCCGACACTAAAGCAACCCATTGTCGCTTATAACACCTATTGCCCTCCACCTATCTTAGCCACCAAATGATTGTTATTGTCAACTTACAAAACTTTAGAACTAGTCTTCCAAAAGCCATCCTCTTCATTAATATTGCCAATCACACCTCCGTAATAACTCCGTAGAAAAATAATATTTAAGTTAGTAAAAAAAAAAGGAGGGGGGGGGGGGGGAGGGGCTAGGTATAAAAAGGGGACAACTCGTTATCCCTCTCTATTTTTCTTCATTTTCTCCTCTCCTTCTCATGCATTTCTCTCCGAATTTTCTCCCAATTCCCTTCTTCAAATCTTAAGCTAAGACTTTATTAAATTAGCTTAGAAAAATCATAAACAAGTAGATTTAAGTAGAGCTTAGCTAGATTAAAGCTTGAAAAGCACAGTATAGTATGATTCAATTAGGGATTAGAAAGCAAATTGTCAAAGATAAGAAATTTCATCACTTGATCTTTAAATTGGAATGTTTATACGTATAATTGATGATTTTGAAGTTGAATTGGATTGGGTTTGTTGTTTGAATGAAGAATTAAGTTAGATTGATGATAGGATTTTGAGACCCATTTGGAAAAAAATTGATTAAGTGATTCTAATTGATTAAATGATGTTTGGTTGCTTTGGGTGAGTGGTTTATGAAGTTAAATTGAAGTGGAATGGAGTAAATTTGATTAATTAAGAGGTCGAAGATGGTAAATAGTGAAAAATCCGAAATTGGGTTTTGAATTGAAAAGAAATTGGAAAAAAATGAAGAAATAAGTTATATAAATTCAATTAAAGATGAATAGAATGATTATTGATTCAATTAGAATGGAATTAATGATTTAATTGAAAATTGATTGTTTAAAGGTTTGAATTGAATTTGAGAAAAGATGATATGTATGGAGATTGATTGAATTGAGGATTGATGATGGGATATAGTTAGACAATTTTTTAGAATTGTTAGAGAGATTAAGAGTTTAGTTGAAGCTATCATTTTGAGCTTTCCTTTCAATTTCATTTGTATTGATAATCTTGTGTTCCTATTTCTAAAATAATTCATTTGTTTTGAATTATTCTTTGATATATGATATTGATGGTGGTTCCATCATCATGTGTTATTAGATTCTTCAAAGCGGGTGACTCCATTTCAATAACCTTGATTTTGTTCGATTCTTTGTTTGTACTCGTGAGTGGATATTATATAACATATTATGCTTTAAAATTCATTTGATTATATCTATCATGCATCACCGATTTAAGTACAATTTAATCACATTTCTTAGAACTTATATGGAAACAGATCCTTGTGTGTTTAAAATGATTTCATATCGAAGTGATTTGATATGATTTAAAAAAGGATTTGAACTTATGTTTGAACAAGTGTTTTGTTTATGGTTTGATGTGAAATTATATATTTAAATGTTAATTTACTTTAAACTATTATTTTGATTATTCGTATAATTTTTTATTAATATTTATTTGATATTGAATTACGTTATCAATCCGATTTAGAGTAAGCATTGTTTTGATATATTGGATTTGAGTATTTTGGAATATGTGTAAGCTTATATGGTTTTTAAAATGATTTCATTACCTTGGGGTACCTAGCTATGGGGGTTGTATGTAACCCCCGTAAAAAC